ACCACCACCACCACCACCACTGCAGTCTCCGCTGGCCGGATGGATCCTCGCGTCGACATCGTCGAGACGATGCCCAGCCTGGGCCATCGCAGGAGGCGGCCAGGTAAGTGAATCCTCAGGTAAGCGAAATTCGCTCTGCTTTCCTTTCTTACTTGTTTCAGATCAGATTTATTAAGGGAAAAGTAGGCGAGCGCCTTTGAACTCCCTTTTGGTTACAATAACGTCATAAAAAACAATGTGTAAGACAAGCGTGAAAAAAAAATCGGTAAGTAATTACATAAAACAAGCATTGGTCACTGGTATGAGGTTGTCTGTGAATGCCTTCTATGTCAAAATTGTACAATATCCAATACGGTACTGCATGAACCACGTAATATCAAAGCAAGCGCATATGTGGCGGTCAGGAGATAGCAAAAATTGTAAAACGTAATGTTACTAAAATATAGGGAGTAGCATGATTTGTAACATAAGACGTTGGATGGGGCGGTGGCACAGAGGGGAATTCGTTAGTTTCTGATGCTGTGGAGGTACATATCCCTGTACTGGTCAAGCTTTCTCTTAAATGAGTCCACGGATGAGGACATGACGACGTCCACAGGCAGGGCGTTCCATGCCTTTACCACTCTGTGGCTGAAGAAGGACCTCCTTGCGTCCAGTCTCGCTCCTGTCACACGTAGTTTCAGAGGGTGTCCTCTCAAGCTAGTAGTGGTGGCCAGCTCAAAGAAGTCGCCGGATGCGAGGCAGCAGTCCTGATCCCGTAACATTCTAAACGTTTGAATTAAATCGCCATGGAGATGTCTCTATTCCAGGTGAAAGAGATTAAGATTTGACAGTCTAGTTTCGTAAGGTAGGTTTTTAAATTCCGTGCCTGCTCTCTATCCGTTAGTCTATGCCTCGAAGTTACTGCGCTTGACTTCGACTATCTGTCTGTCAGTCTGTGCTTGGTTTTACTGTGCTTGACTTTGGATGATGCCCTGACAATCCTCCCTGAATGATGACTGTGTCTGCTTGTCCATCCTGGTTGTAAGTCCCATAGCGTTCTGTTGTGTGTATGCTCTCTCCTACTTAAATCCACCTCATCGCCACCAAGGTCCCAGGCTAACTCGGGTAGTTCACTCACTAAAAAAAGTCGTCACCCATAGTGAAGTTCGGTCGCGCCAACAAGGCACATGGGCAGCCTTATTCAGGGGTGGCACTGCCTGCCCTCTCGAGGGCAAGGGCCTAGAAAAGGTGGCCTAGACATTGCTGGGCACCACGCTGTCTGCAGGCTATCCAGGACCGCAGATGTCATAAACATCGTCGAAAAAATCAAAATCAAAACAACAACAATACCTATAACAACATTAAAAATACTCGCTCACCTACTCATCCTACCTCTTCCTCATTTTCCCCGTCTATCCTTCAACTTCGTCACCTTCGTCTACACATCCTTCCCGTCGCCCCACTCATCGCCAGACTAGCAGGGTGAGTCCGCTCACTCTGGCAGCCTGGAATGTTCGTCCCCTTTTAGACAATCCGAGGAACAACCGACCGGAACGGAGGACGGCGCTAGTGGCACGAGAACTGGCGCGCTACAAGGTGGATATCGCCGCACTCAGCGAGACCCGATTCTCCGAACAAGGCCAACTGGAGGAGGTGGGTGCCGGTTACACCTTCTTCTGAAGTGGTCGAGCCAAGGCAGAGCGACGAGACGCGGGTGTCGCCTTTGCCATCCGGACCGACATCGTGGGACGACTACCCTGTTTGCCGCAGGGAATCAACGACCGCCTAATGAGCCTCCGTCTGCCCCTCCGGCGAGGAGGCAAGTTCGCCACCATCATCAGCGCCTACGCTCCGCCGATGACCAGCCCCGACGCCGTCAAAGACAAATTCTACGAGGACCGGCATGCCCTCTTGGCGACTGTGTCGAAGGCGGACAAGTTGATTGTCCTTGGCGACTTCAACGCTCGCGTCGGCACAGGCCATACTGCCTTGAGAGGAGTGCTGGGCCCCCACGGTCTCCGCGGCTCAAACGACAATGGTCTGCTGCTTCTCCGCACCTGCGCAGAACACCGCCTCATTCTGACGAACACGTTCTTCTGTCTGCCGGAGCGAGAGAAGGCCACCTAGAGGCATCCCCGGTCGCGCCAGTGGCACCTGCTGGACTACGTCCTCGTCCGGAGGCTAGATCAGCGGGACGTGCTGGTGACGAAGGCGATCGCGGGTGCTGACGGGTGGACCGACCATCGCCTCGTCATCTCGAAGATGCGTATTCGTCTACAACCTCGCAGACGACCACAAGGTAAGCGACCCCAGGTAAGCTGAATATTGCCTTGTTGTCCTTGCCCGTTCACCAACTTCATTTCAGCAATGAGCTAACTCAACGGCTAGACAACCTCCCCATTGCCGACGCCGCCGCTGCCGAGAACGCCTCCGTGGAGAAACACTGGTGTCAACTGCGAGACACGGTCCAGTCGACGGCGCTAGCCGTCCACGGTCGCGCTCCCCATCAACACCAGGACTGGTTCGACGACAACGACGCCGCCATCAGATATCTGCCTGCTGAGAAGAACCGCCTCCACAAAGCCTACGTAGATCACCCCACTGTGGACAACAAAGCTGCCTTCTACCGCAGTCGCCGACAGCTTCAGCAACGACTGCGCGAGATGCAGGACGCCTGGACTGCTCGCAAAGCTAAGGAGATCCAAGGGTACGCGGACCACAACGAATGGAAGAAATTCTTCTCCGCGATCAAAGCTGTCTACGGTCCGCCGACGAAGGGCACTGCCCCTCTCCTCAACACCGACGAAAGTACCCTCCTGACTGAGAAGACACAAATCCTACAGCGATGGGCCGAGCATTTCCGAGGCGTACTCAACCGCCCTTCCGCCGCCGTCGACCGTCTGCCGCAAGTGGAGACCAACGTGGACCTCGACCTCCCGCCATCTCTCCAGGAGACCATCAGTGCCGTGCAGCAACTCTCCAGCGGGAAAGCACCCGGATCGGACGCAATTCCTGCTGAGGTCTACAAGCACGGAGGTCCCCTACTGATGGATCACCTGACTGCGCTCTTCCAGGAGATGTGGCGTCAAGGTGAAGTCCCGCAAGATTTCAAGGACGCAACTATCGTGCACCTATACAAGTGCAAAGGGAATCGCCAAGTCTGCGACAACCACCGCGGCATCTCCCTACTGAACATCGCCGGGAAGATCTTTGCTCGCATCCTGCTCAACCGCCTCAACAACCATCTGGAACAGGGCCTTCTGCCGGAAAGCCAATGCGGCTTCCGTCGTCATCGTGGGACCACGGATATAATCATCGCTGCCCGCCAACTTCAGGAGAAGTACCAGGAGATGCGGACCCACCTGTACTCTACTTTCGTGGACCTGACGAAAGCCTTCGACACGGTGAATCGTGAAGGACTGTGGAAGATTATGCAGAAATTCGGCTGTCCGGAGCGATTCACTCAGATGGTGCGTCAACTGCACGACGGTATGATGGCACGAGTCACGGACAACGGAGCTATCTCAGAGGCATTCGCAGTGACCAACGGAGTGAAGCAGGGCTGTGTGCTGGCGCCTACCCTCTTTAGTCTCATGTTCTCTGCCATGCTGATGGACGCCTACCGCGACGAACGCCCTGGAATCCGCATCGCCTACAGAACGGACGGTCATCTCCTGAATCACCGGCGCATGAACTTCCAATCGCGTGTATCCACAGCCACCGTGCACGAACTCCTCTTCGCCGACGACTGCGCCCTGAACACCACCTCCGAAGCGGAGATGCAACGGAGCATGGACCTATTCTCCGCCGCCTGCGAGAACTTTGGGCTGGTCATTAACACGCAGAAGACGGTGGTGATGCACCAACCGCCGCCCAACTCAGCCACAGCCCCCAACGCGCCGCCGCAAATCAACGTGAACGGAAATCAACTGCAAGTGGTGGAGAACTTCCCGTATCTGGGCAGTACCCTCTCCCGCAACACCAAGATTGATGACGAAGTCGCCAACAGGATCTCGAAAGCCAGTCAAGCATTCGGACGCCTCCGAAGCACAGTTTGGAATCGCCACGGTCTCCAACTGAGCACGAAGCTGAAGATGTACAAGGCCGTCATCCTGCCGACGTTACTGTACGGAGCAGAGACATGGACGGTGTACACGAGACAGGCACGCCGACTGAACCACTTCCACCTCAGTTGTCTCCGTCGCATCCTGAGGCTGAACTGGCAGGATCGAATCCCCGACACGGAAGTACTGGAACGAACGGGAATCCCCAGCATCTACGCCATACTGAAACAAATGCAGCTGCGCTGGAGCGGCCACCTGGTGCGCATGGACGAAGAGCGACCACCCAAACGACTCTTCTACGAGACGTCGCGACGGGTTCTCGTCGTCAAGGAGGCCAAATTCGCCGTTACAAGGGTACTCTGAAGTCCTCCCTGAAGCGCCTGCAAATAAACCCAACCAACTGGGAAGAGCTCGCTCGCGATCGTCCGACATGGAGGAGAACAGTGAAGACGGGCGCTGCTATCTATGAAGCCAACCGAATCGCCGCCTCCAAAGCGAAACGCGAAGCCCGCAAATCACAGCTTCGCCCAGTCCGCAACGCCGCTGCACAAACTCCCCCTACGTGTCCTCGATGTCAACGGACATTCCGGGCATGAATCGGACTTGTTGGACATCTTTGGATCAACTGCACCTCTCGAACTGCTTCAGCCATCGTCCCCCCGCCCGCCTCTTCCTCCTCTCTTCCGCCAACTAATTCTGACACTCCTTCTGCACCACCACTTCCATCCTCCTCCTTCTCCTCCACTGCCCCAGCGGCGGCCGTTCAGACTGCTGTCTCACACATCACAAACCCCGACACAATAACCGCCACCACCCCCACCTCTCTCGATTCCAGTGATGAGGATCAGGACTACACCTGCTCTCACTGCGACCGCACCTTCGCCTCTCGCATCGGCCTGGTCGGTCACTTGCGAATCCATCGCACAGAGACTGGCGAACCAGTGCCTGGAGCACCAACCTACACCCACCGCACTCGCCTTCACTGCCCACACTGCCCTCGCACCTTCACGCATCGCATGGGTCTATTCGGCCACATGCGCATCCACGACGACCTGTGGTAGACAACCGCCGGTCACACCACACATGCCCTCACTCCCTACCTCCTAACACCATCACCCCACCAGACATCAACACTCACACACCTCATGCACTCAACTGCCGCCTCCCACGCAAGTGGGAAGTGTGCAACTCGACTCGGTCCCCATGCGGCTTCGGCTGCACGGGTGACTTGTGTCCGAGAATATCCCGACACGTCAAGTGTCGTGGATAGGAAGGTTGCTGATTGAGGCCCGCTCTCGGTTCGCGCAGTTCGTCACGTTGTGTGTGTGTGTTGTGTGTAGTGGCGGACTGGTGGGCTGGGGACGGGCTGCAACAGCACCTTCCACGGCCCTCTCACGCAAGTGGGAGACACGCCGTTCAACCCCCGTTGTGTGAAATCCTGATGTTTGTGTGTGTATGGGGGGCCAGGTCGTGCTGTGGCGCGCGCAGGCATGGTCAGTCGACCATGTCAGCCACCGCGCCCATTCCCCACTCCAGTCTGCTGACCGGCTCGGACAGCGGCTGGGGTGTGGGAATGGGAAGGGAGAGTGAGGTCGACGACTAAGCGCATTTTCCTCACTATAATCAATCTGACGCGCTTGAAGCTATCACGGTGCGCTAAAAGCCGTGGCTTGGAAGGTTGCCAACTGACGGGGTACCTTGGACCTCCTCTTTCACGGGAGGCGGTCTGAGAGTCAGGCTGAAATGGCTCCTTTTTAATGTGGCCTTTATGGCACTCTCACCACAGTGTGGGATCCGAGCCAGGCGTTGGCGGCACGCCCAGGTGCGGCTTCGGCCGTGCCAGCCTCCAAATCTCTGTTTTGTTGGTTGAAATCCTGGTTATTGTTGTGTGGACCAGGGGGTGTGGTGGAACGCCAAGGTGAGGATCCGTCCGAGCCATCCACCTGCGGCCTCCCTCGTCTCCGGTCTTCTTGACTCTGTCTTGACACCGGGCCCAGGCGGGGGAGGAGGAGAGAGTGTAGGTAGATGCAGCGCAAGTTTACCCGCACTATAAACCCCCGCTCAAGTCACCGTCCCTGCTCGCGCCGCTGCTGCAGCTGTGGGGCACACGGTGGACATCGTCGAAATCGACGGTCGAACTGTCGTGTGTGTGTCCTGATTTGTCAAGGGGTGGTGTTTAAGTGGCATGTTTTGATTTTTCAGGGGAAGGGGGTGATGTGTTTGAGTAGCGCATGGGTAACTGCGACTCTGTGGACGCATGTGCTTCCGGGTTTAAGTCGGTTGATTGGCTGCAGGTTAGCGCGTCTGGAACCGCTCCATGCGAAGGCGGATGGCCTTGACGCCAGGTTGTCTTGAACAAGGAGGACACAAATGGCCATGATGGCTGTCAGCAACGTCAACATGCACCTCAGAAGAAACTGCGGTCACTGGAACAAGGAGTTTATTGGCCTGACGTTTCGCATTCCCGCTCGAACCCATCCTCAGAGGCGGTCACATATAAGGAAGGTGGAGTCATAAGGAGTGCAGTATTTGTAGGATGTATCTGCCCCGGGACCGAATACGTAGCATAATTACCAGCTCTCGCGATCATCGCTGGGGGCCGTAATTGATTCGATGCTGACTTGTCAGTCCACTTAAGATGGGTCTGAGACTCCAGGCCTGTAAACTTCTTGCTCCAATGATCGCATCTTTTTCTACTAAACTGCTTCCAAGAGCTCGGCCGTTCGCCTCTATCAGCAACAAACATACAAGCGTCGCCATCGTCTTCGCTACCCACATTGTCTTCGCACATTGAGCCGTCGCATGGCCCTATTCGGTCACATGCGCCCCTAATGAAAAGCTCTCGTAGAACGCTGCAGACATTATCATATCGTCACATAAAAACCTCAGCGTCACACATCACTGACACATCTCACGTATGTAGGTGGGAAGTGTGCTTTTGGCTCCTATTACCATTCGCAAGTGAGATCCGAGCGGTCCATACCCTTGTATGTGAAATCCCGGCATGTGCATATAGGGGGACCGCGTCATGTGTGCGGCACGCGTAGACCGCGCACCAGACACCTCTCCCAACCTAAACATCTGTCGGTCAGCCGGTTCGGACAGTCGACTGGCGCACACGATAAGGTAGAGCAAGAAAGGTCGACTCTCAGCGCATAATTCCCCACTGTAAACAACTGGACGCACTTGAGACTATCGCGGTCCACCAAAAACTATTGCTTTGAAGGTTGTCAACTAATGCTTCAACTCATACCACGCAGCCAGTTCGATTGTGTGTTTGCCTATCGAGTGGCGACTAGTGGACTGGGAATCAGGCTGTAAAGGCTGCTTCTTAATAGCACACTGCCACACAAGTAAGATCTCGGCAGTTCCCCCCCCCTTGTGTGTAATCATGGTGTGCACATTTGAGGGGACAGGTCGTGCGTGTGGCGCGCGAAGACCGGCTCTTCTTGGCTCTGTCAGCCGCTGCGCACACTCCAAACACTTAACCGGCTCGGACAGTCAACTGGTGCCTGAGAGTGGGAAAAGAGATCGAGTTCGACGATCTCAGAGCATATTCCTCACAACAAACAATCTGATGCTCTTGAATCTATCACAGTACGCTAAGAGCTGTAGCTTGGAAGGTTACCAACTGGTGGGTAAAGCAGACAATTCAGTGTATGATTGTGTGGATTTGCCGACTTTTGCCCCCAAGACGGGTCATGCGATAGATGCGCTTGTCCAAAACGGGAGCCATATCGGATTCTGGCAAGTGCTATCGGAACGCGCACCATAAAAAATGCCAACACTTAGAGATGCGGTGGCAGACCCGGTTGCCGGCTGGCTGTCGCAGCCCCCATTGTTGTTATGGTTTAAAGTCCTGACCAGGAGTTTGTTGTGTGGACCAGTAGGTATGAAATGCACGCCTGAGCGTTGGTCCGGCCGCGCAACCCACGTGCGCCACTCCCCACCTCTGGTCTTCTTGACTAGACCTCGGCACCTGGGGGAGGAGGAGAGAGTGTGGTAGATGCTTTGCAATTCCACCGCCATTATAAACGAATCTGCGCGCATGTCACCGTGCCTACTTTACCTTGCTGTGGTGCACACACTGGACATCCTCCGGCAGTCCAGTTAGGCTGCAAATGTTCCTTCTAAATGTGACTTTCATGGCACTCCCACTTAGTTGGAAACCGAGCATTGCGTTTCCGAGGCCATCAACACCAACTCTTAAAGAAACAGAGGAATAAGCCGCATGGGCAGGCCACAGTTGTTACAGCGACGCAGCAGATGCATAGCTAATTGCCAGATACCTTCCCCCTCTCTAGGCCCCGAGCAGAGCTAGACGGTGACCCCTGACCTCCGAAAGCCTCTCAACCCTCTCCTCCACACTAGTCTTTTATTGGCTGATTAACTTTTGCTGCTCTACTCTCACTAGTATTACTGTACAGGCCGGCCCAATGATGAATAATCAAAAGCTTACGTTTGCCGGACTCGATTTCTTAAATGCTTACATGGGTATCGTCGCTGGAATCAGCCTTGGAGCATGTTAAAATCAGCTGTTTTAGCCGGCTAATGCAAAAGGTTGCGTGTCGGCACAAGATGGTCACTAGAATTCAACCTCTTTGAACCGCAGCTGATGTACTGTGCGTGACCAATCGCATGAAATGTCAGCCAAAATTCTGGAATGCGTTTCCGATTAGGAAGGAGTACTTAAGTGCGGTTGTTATACTGATTATCATGCAGCATAACCCTATAACACTTCTGACTCGTCTGGATGTTGGCTTTCGAATGCGAGTCTTTTTGACCTCCTGCATAAACCACACTCGGTAATAAATGACTACTTATGTAGCATGCATTTTTCCTATTGACTTTCGATGGTCTTATAAATTCAAATATATTTTATAGAAAACACGCACATTTGGTAGGAAATTACATTCTCTTCATATTTTATACCCGAAGAAAGTTTCTAATTATGAGATTTTTAAGACCGTGCGATGTCTACGCATGCAAGACCGCGCATGTCCGCTTATTAATGCTCCTCATGAAATGTACAAGACAGTCCGAATCCATTGCAAAATTTCATGAACTTTATGTGATTTCTTCTTAAAGACAGAGGAAAATATGATTTTCCCTACGCGGAAAGCAAGCGCCTTGTAGACTGAAATAGCTAAACGCTGATGCAGTGGCAGACCAGACTGAAAACTATTCGGGAATTGAGAAACGCTTTCAAAATCTAAATATACACTTTCTTCGGGCATAAAATATGGAGACAATGTGATTTCCTACCAAATGAGCACGGGAAAGCATATTTTGCGCACATTTTATATACAAAAATATAATCGAATTTATAAGACTGTCGAAAATCTATAAGAAAAAATGCATGCTACATATGCAGTCATGGTTCACCGAGTGTGGCTTCTGCAGGAGGTCAAAAAGACGTGCATTCAAAAGCCAACATCCTGACGAGTCCGAAATGTTATAGGGTTATGCTGCATGATAATCAGTTTAACAACCGCACTTCCTAATCGGAAACGCATTCCAGAGTTTGGCCAACTTTTCATGAGATCGGTCACGCACTGTACATGAAACTGTAGATGTCTGTTCCCACGGTGGCTGGTCATGCGCTAACCCGCGCTGCCTAAACCGTCCGCCTAACACTCCCTGTCAATCGATTGCATTCGCCGCGAGCGTGACTGGGCGACGGTTTGGCGCCACGCCGACTCTGCACCCTTCACTGATTGGCCGCAGATAGGCAGTGCCCGATAGTTCGAGCCTGCCCACAGCAGGGTGAAGCAGGCACGGTGACTTGCGCGTGAATCAGTTTATAGTGAATGTAGACTTGCACAGCGTCTACCGCAACTTCCCCTCCTCTCTCACCTGGACCCGGTGTCAAGACAGAGTCAAGAAAACCGCCTTCTAATGGTCAAACAGCGGAACCAAGAAATTAGGCTGCTGTTCAACTTTTTTGCTGCTTCATTTTTATCCCAAATGAGCAAATGTGTATTTCGCGATCTCCACTAATGTTCAATGTAACCATAAAATGATTCAGCAATGTACAACACATTTTGATGCACAAAAAGCT